AGATGATTTTAGTGGCACCACTATTGATGTTCAATGGTAAATTGATGGTTAGAATATATACATATCTCTATTAGCAGATACTAGTCATATCTAGATATCTATGATACTCTCTACTATTCTCTCTCTACTACTATCTCTCTCTACTTCTCACTATCGTGTTTCCTAAGTGGTTGAATCCTAATCTTACTTGGTTTTTTGGGGTGTTACAAGGGTTGGGTGTGTTTAATCTAACTTTAAGACTCTAATGTTGGGATTGGAGTGATGTGTTGTGACCTTAATTATGTTTTTTGTTGTAACCCTATATAACCAAAACAATGTTTTAACTAAAATGACTGCTTAAGAGATAAGTAGACTTATCATACCTGATTCCATGCATTGTGTTTGTTAAGACATATTAGATATTGAATAAGTAGATGCATGATAAAATATGTTTGTACATTATATGACTTATGTTATGGTGCATGGAATGAAGGTTGAATTGGGGATGGCTGTAAACATATTTTTGAACAGCACAGATTGTATGAAAATGAAAGGGATTGTTTTATCTGCATTGGCTCTGCTTTATACTGTTTGTGTGTAATGTTGTCCTTAGAGGTGATGCAATGTGAATAATGTGTTGTTTTGGATAACTTGGGTGAAAAATCTGATGATAATGAATGAGTTAATCATATTATTTTACAATATATTACAATTGGGAACTTGCCACTCTCATTATACAATGATGTTATTGTTTTGGTAAAATGTGCAGGATATAGTGATATGGACAGAGAAGTCAATGAACCTGTAAGTATGCTGTAATGTTTCGAATTTAATATTTATTAGGTATGTTATGCCATTTATTATACTAAGATATGGTTTGGTTTATGGTGTTAACTTGCAGGGTACAGTTAGAGTTAGGCATCAAGTACAAACCCAACCTATAGTTGAATTAAATGCTTCCTGTCATCCTTTCAAAGAACAGATAAAGTTCGACACCCTTTTAACATTTTTAGTCGATTTGGTAGACACTATAACTGCTTATGCAATACCAGATTCATTTATACAACAAATGCTTTGATTTTAAGTAGTCTTCACTCATTTTTTGTGATTCTGTAACATATATGTTACTGTTATTGTGATGACTTAAAGGTAAATCGAAAGATTGCTAAAGAGACATTGCCTTAATCACCTCCTAATAATGCATAAGCTTTAAAACAGCAAAACCAAATATATATAAAAGAAAGACTTCATGTACAAGATAAACATAATGATTGATTCTGGTTGGTCTTTCAATAACGAAGAGGGAAAAATATGGGCATATAACCAAACTTAAGGGTTATTAACATTAGCTATAACATACTATGATAATTAAATTGTAATTGGTCCAAACAGAAAACATCACCCTTTGAAAGTTAAGATGACAACAAAGGACATAATACATTACCAAGAACATGTTGACAACGATAGGTGCATGCATATCACAATTAGTTGTTGATCAAACTATGTTAAAGCTAAAATATGAAAGAAAAAAAAAGGAAAAATCCATGGTTTTTTAAGCAAAACTTAAAAAGAAAAATTGTTCCTTTTGGTTTATTTCTCTGATGCTGAAGACTGAAAGGACAGTATGGGATACCATAGCAGTAAATTTGTGTTCTTTGAGACATGAAGCCAAAATTTAACTATAATTAAAAATGTCAAAATTAGGAATATCTTAATTTTTTATTTTATCAATTAGGATAATTGTTAAGGATATATTTGTAGTCCTTTTAAGGACATACTTGATTGAAATTTTGTGAGTGAGAATTTTATTTTTTCAGAAAAGCTTGTAATAGTAGTTTAGAAGTGCTCTCTCATGGTTGAGTGTGCTTCTCACTTCCCTGTAGGTCAAGTCAGTAGAAGCTTGTAATAGTAATAACCACTTCTTTCTAATATTTATTTAATGTGTAGGTATGATTGTGGTATGTTGGTGATTAAATATATGGAGTTATGGGACCACTTACCTAAATTCGATGGGAAAAAAAATGCCTGATTACACAACGGTTTGTTTTATTTATGTATATGTTTATTTGCATATGATTTATTGATAAAAGTTTCTTAAGTGTAATATTTAACAAGAGTATTGTTATTGCAGGAACAATTACAAGTTGTGCGACAACAGATGGGTTGTCAGTGGGTATTACACGAAGATAATGTTCATCGCACTAGGGTACTAAAGAAATTTGGGATGCTTTAGGCATTGATTAACTCATAAAGTTGTACAACATGACCAAATTCAATACATTGAAGTAGGGGAACAATAAATGTACATATTGATTAGAATGTCAACGAAATATGATTGATTAGGACACAATGAATGTTATTGGTTTTTAGGATGTTTAGTTTTTGTAATGAAGAATAAGTTTCACTATTTAATGTTTATGAATTTTATGACTGATTATAAAATGCTTTATGGATGAAAATTTAAGTTTGGTTATTCATAAAAGTTTGGATGGCAACCATATTGATGAAATCTGTCTTAAGAAATGTAATGATTCATATTGAATTAAACAACTTAAGAAATCAATTATTGATATTTAATTAAACCTTTTTTATCCTTGTACAAAACCTCTTTCATAAATAGTCACATAGGACTAAGTATATAACCACTTACTGCACCTAAGATTGTTGAGGATGATATTCAATTAAACCTTTTCTTTCTTGTACAAACCCTCTTTCATAAATAACCATATATGACTAAGTACATCACTACTGTACTGCACCGACGAACTGATATTTATATTCAATTAAACCTTCTATTATGGGTAACAAAACCTCTTCATAAATAACCATATAAGACTAAGTACATAACCACTTACTGACCTAAAAATGATGATTTGATATTTCAATTCAAACCCATTTTCTTATTCTTGTAATTAACAAACCTTTTTCATAAATAACCACATTCGACTTAATAGATAACCACTTACTGCACCTAGATATGCGATTGCATGATATGTATAAACCACTTTTATTGGTTTTCAATACCTCTTTCAAAAATAACCACAATCAAATTCTTCATGAAATTAACCATAAAAAAAAAAAAACACATTGGACCCTAATGATAACCACTTCCGGCACCTAAGAATATGTATGATCAATTGAATTACACCACTTTTATTTATTGTTGTACGAACCTCTTCCCACAGACCCCTAGGACTTGTAGTCAGCACTTAATGCACCTAAGATATGTGACATTGTGATATTGATTAACAATTTTATTGTTTACAGAACCTCTTTCACAAATAACCACATAGGACCTATACCTAACCCCTTACTACACGCTACGAAATGTGATATTGATATATTAACCACACTTTTATTATCGTACATAACATACTCAGAAATAATCCATATGTACTTAGTGATATTTGCTTACTTGTACTCACAATTTATGTAGTTGATATTGAATTAAACCACTTTTATTGTTGTTCAAAACATCTTTCAGAAATAACCAAATAAGACTTTATACATAACCACTTACTACAACCAAGGATCATTAGGGAATAGTGGAACTCTATAACACGTGTTTTTCAAAGAACGAAATGGACTATCCAATATTTGTTTTGAAATTGTAAGGTGTGTAACAACAACTTGAAACTGATATAATAAATGGACAAGTCTTACAATTCAACATAATTATATCACAAAACATTTCCATCATTTCTACAAGCTTAAGATGAATAATAATGGAACATCATATAAAACTTGGAACATAACATACATTACATAACCACTTAATGCAACAACATATTCATGATTCTGACTTTAGTACTTCACTAATTATACTACATAACAAATCCATGTAAACACGGACAATATTCAAAACTGACAACAATGATAAAACTGAAATACAAAATAGCGTATTATGATAGTCCTCAATTTGTTCCACTTTTAGTTCTTTTTTGATCCACTGCCTTCAGGTTTGTCGTTGTGAACAGGTGGAGTCAATTTGCTAAGGATGTCATCAACGAAACGTGTTGGAGGCTTGTTGATAACAATTGGTATTGATAGACGTACTAAGTCATCAATTGGGCAACCAATATCACTTTGCAAAAACCTGCACATAAGCGGAATATCATTCAAAGTGGTAAAAAAGTTCAGAATACATATATCACCACAGTACAAAACACTTTTAAACTTTACCATTGTCGTGATGTGATAGGTGGAAGACAAGTATTTGTCATCTTCTAGTAAACTGCAGTCTGCATATGCAAAGCAGAAAATAAAATGAATTTCAGATAATAAATTGTTGATGCATATATGACTATTTAATAATTAAATTTTCAACCTACTCAATTTCATCTGCGACTCATATACCAAAAAGACATCCAACTTATAGGAACCAACTCATACTTGTTTCTTAAAGTGTAACTGTCATCTAAATTACTTACCACTTTTATACTCTTTTATTCCCTTTCAACTAATTCCATAACAATATCACAGATTCAAAAAAATATAATGATTTTTTCGGTGGTTTTCAACATGGTGCCTCTTTAAATTAAATTAAGATAGCTAAAGTAACATTGCATAATACAAACAATAGTGCAAAGGAGGAATATGTCAGCTAAATCTGAAAAGTTTTCACACTTCTTTAAGGTATGCCAGATCTTGACAAAATTCTGAGATTGCCTGTATAGTGTCAAGTCGGTAATAACCACCTATAAAGTTCTCTTTATGTTGACCGGATTTTTGGGCTATTCATTTCAATTTTCATTTTCTTTTTGTGTTATTTCAAGCATATTCTTTAACAATATATACTAAATCTAGCTAGATATGTTCTCTAGGTTTGAAATATAAAAACAAAGAGAAAGAAAATAGTTAGGAGTAATGCATAACCCAAGATTGTAAGTGCAGAATACAACTGAATCAATATTTAACCTAAAACAAGTTAATAGCCCGAGGATCTCACCTTTGGACCATTTTCAGTAATGTTGAGATGACCGATACCGCTTCATCAAATGCAATTGTTTAGTGCTTCTTCTTTGTTTTATTTTACATTTGAACAAAAATAAATCAAACAAATTACTTGATATCATGAACCAACCCATACTGGTGGGGGGGGGACACACGAGACACATTTTTCTTCCTAAATAAGCAAAGAAAAGATAAGGCCCAAATTTGTTATAAAACACAAGGAATAGTGTCAAGGTTTTCATGATAAATGGCATAAGAGGTCTTATGCATTTAAAACTGCTCAACCTCATCTTTATCAAACCTTGCCCCTTTTAGTCTAGGGTTTTCGAAAATGAACACAAAAGAAGAAACGAAGAAGAAGCACCGCCACCGTCCGATCAGGTGCACCTTCCGATTAAGTCACACCGCTCAAATTCTCGCGTTATGAAGAGAAAAGAAGAGAGGAAGAAGAAGCACCACCCAAACTCTCTGTCTCACGCCTTTGCCCCTTTATTCTAGGGTTTTCGTAAATGAATAAAAAAGAAAACGAAAGATAGAGAAATGATGACAAAACAAGAAAGGAATAGAAAGGGGACAAACCTCATGCTTCGCACTTTGCCGGTTCCAACTCTTCTGATCACCGATCACGTCTAGCCTGTGACAGCCAGGATTGCTCCTTTTTTTTTCTTTCTCGCTCTCTCCTCACCATAACCTAGACTTCCTCTTCCAAGAAAATTGGGGGAAAAAGGGTAGCCGTGAAGAGAAAAATTTCAATAAACTTTTCAGGCACCGCAAATGACAACTTTGCCCTTAATGACATTCAGAAAAATTGGGTCCCACCTGTGTCAAATGAGTGTCAATTTCTTTAGCCGTGTCAAAGAATCATTTTTGTTTTCTATATTTATTAACAAAACACAAGATTTTTTCCTTTCGTCATGTGAAACATGGTAGATAAAACACCTAACTCTATTTATGAAGAACATTACTAAAATGTTTTATTATTTTTTTAAGAAAAAGAAGGTTAAATATAATAAATGAAAATTAAGTGAACGAAGGGTTAAATAAAGACAATGTATATTTGGTTTTAAAGAAAAGGAAAGAATTGATTAATATTAAGAGTTCAAATACCATAAATAATGAATTAAAAAGGGTTTTAAACAAGAAATTGATCTCAAATGTTGAATTTTTTTTATACAAGTGGTATTTTATTTCTTGTAATTAAAAACCCATTTTTTATAAAAATGTGAGATGATTGGAAAATATGGAGTTGGTTATAAACACCTATTTTGAAACATTGAACAAAATTAATTTAATTTCTAAACATTTTTAAAGAAAAGTGGAAGAGAACATCTCGAGTAATGTGATGGAAAGATATATAAAAAAGGCATTTTTTATTTATACTTATTGATGAATATTCCTTGAAGGAATTTTTTTTTTATTCATTGAATTAACAGCATCTCAAATTAGTTTGTAAGATTTCGAAGGTAATAGAATAATTTGGAAATGTTAATTTAGTTATTTGAAATTTATATTCTTCTTACTAATAAAAAAGTCTTTTTTATAAGGTTAAAAAAAGTTTTCTATTATGATTCTAGAATAGAAAATTCCATTTTTATATAGATTAAGGTCACAATCGATATAATAATCTAAGGCCGTCAAACTTTACAACCTATGTTTGCTCACAAAGAAGAACAAAATTCTATAATAAAGTCAACATCCAAAAATGAATCTAACACTCACACTCATTCTCTCTTCTGCCGATCATGTTCTTAATCCAAAAACATATGAAAAATCGTCGCCCCTTCAATCTTCCATTAACATTGTCTTTCTTGTGCTATTCCATTCTTATTGGGTATGGAGAGTGCGTTTGAGATGCTATGTGGGTATAATGCTCGTGAGTTATTTTATGCATGTCCTCGATTTTGATGTTATCGGTGTTCGTGTACGCGAAGTTGTTGTTGAAGTTGGTGGGCAACCCTCTTCACCTATGGGTTTCTTCAAATCTCTCACCGTTTCTCTCTCCTCATGGTCCGCTACCACTACGTCGTGATTCTTATTGGTTCAGGTGGTGCGACCGCCACTGTCGAAGCTTTTCTATCGTTGGTTGCAACCTCTTTACTCTTTCATCTTCGTAGGAATGGCTACCTTATTCCCTCACCAATCATAGTCCCCTCCACTGTTGTCTATAGAGTGAGCCATTTAACCTTGTGTCATCCTTGTCGACCGCCACGGTTGCCACAATAAAGGATTTTTTGACTTTCTATCGAATGGATTATAACTAGTATAAAATATTGTTATAAAAAGTTATTTTGCACTACTTTCCTTCTTTAATTTATATATTTAATTAAAATTTCAATATTTAATTATAGTTTCACACAAAGAGAATAAACCCCATTTACAATAAAAAAAATATTAATAGTTTTGGTTTATAATGTATAACTTAAAGTTGAAAAGTAACAAATTAGAACAATTGTCTCTATTCCATTTAAAGGTGTCAAAATGGGTTCAAACATGAGTTTAATTTGGCTCACCATGAGTTTTTTCATGCAGCTTCCATTGAAAGAATATATTTTGTTTAAAGGTGAAAATTCTTTTAACTTGAAGTTACCATTAGCAAGTAGAAATTCTTCCCCCCCCCCCCCCCACCCACCCCCCCCCCCACCCCCCCACCCCCCCCCCCCAACACACCCCCCCCCCCCCACCCCCCCCCCCCCCCCCCCCCCCCCCCCCCCCCCTCCCCCCCCCCACCCCCCCCCCCACACCCCCCCCCACCCCCCACCCCCCCCCCCCCCCCCCCCCACCCACTCTTCCATTTAAAATGTGCACAATGGATTCAAACTTTTGAGTCAATCAGCTCACCATTTGATTCGAGGAGGTCCCCATTGAAAAAATATAATTAATTATTTTTAAATGTGGTTAATTGGAACGCTACTATTAAGTTGCCAAATTCAATGGTCCGGATCAAATTAGAAATAGATTAACTTTTTGTTTTAAAGATGTATAGTAATGCTAATATTACTTGTGTTATTATGATGGGTGTTAAAGGGTTGGGTGTTGTTAATCTAACTTTAAGACTCTAATGTTGGATGGAGTGATTGTGTTGACCTTAATTATGCTTTGTTGTACCCTTATACAAAAACATGTTTTAATAAAATGACTGCTTAAATGAGATAAGTAGACTTATACATGAACCTGATTCCATGATTATGTTTTGTTAAGACATATTAGATATTGAATAAAGTAGAGTGCATGATAAAATATGCTTTGTACATTATATGACTCTATGTTATGGTGCATGGGATGAAGGGTTGAATTGGGGATGTCTGTAAAATATGTTTGAACATGCACAGATGTATGAAAATGAAAGGGATATGTTTTACGCATTGGTACTGCCTTTATACTGTTTGGTGTGTAATGTTGTCCTTAGGTGATTGCAATGTGAATAATGTGTTGTTTTGGATAATTGAGTGAAAAATCTGATGATATGAATGAGTTAAATACATATTATTTTACCAATATATTAAATTGAACTTGTCACTCTCATTATACAATGATGTTGATTGTGTTTGGTAAAATGTGCAGGATATAGTGATATGGACAGAGAAGTCAATGAACCTGTAAATATGCTGTAATTGTTTCAATTTAATATTTATTAGGTAGATTGTTGCCTTTATTATACTAAGATATGGTTTGGTTTATGGTTTGGTTTATACTTGCAGGGTAGAGTTAGAGTTAGGCACAAGTACAAACCCAACCTATAGTTGAATTAAATGTTTCTCTGTCATCCTTTCATAAGGAAAGAATAAAGTCGACACCTTTTAAATTTTTAGTCGATTTGGTAGACACTATAACTGCTTATGCAATACCAGATTCATTTATACAACAAATGCTTTGATTTTTAGTAGTCTTCACTCATTTTTTGTGAATTCTGTAAACATATATGTTACTGTTATTGTGATGACTTAAAGGTAAAATCGAAAGATTGCTAAAGAGACATTGCCTTAATCACCTCCTAATAATGCATAAGCTTTAAAACAGCAAAACCAAATATATATAAAAGAAAGACTTCATGTACAAGATAAACATAATGATTGATTCTGGTTGGTCTTTCAATAACGAAGAGGGAAAAATATGGGCATATAACCAAACTTAAGGGTTATTAACATTAGCTATAACATACTATGATAATTAAATTGTAATTGGTCCAAACAGAAAACATCACCCTTTGAAGTTAAGATGACAACAAAGGACATAATACATTACCAAGAACATGTTGACAACGATAGGTGCATGCATATCACAATTAGTATGTAACCACTTACTGCACCTAATACATTACTAAGTATATAACCACTTACTGCACCTAAGATATGTGATGATGATATTTAATTAAACCTTTTCTATTCTTGTACAAAACCTCTTTCATAAATAACCATATAGGACTAAGTTCATAACTACTTACTGCACCTAAGAAATGAATGATTGATATTCAATTAAACCTTTTCTATTATTGTACAAAACCTCTTTCATAAATAACCACATAAGACTAAGTACATAACCACTTACTGCACCTAAGAAATGAATGATTGATATTCAATTAAACCATTTCTATTCTTGTACAAAACCTCTTTCATAAATAACCACATTCGACTTAATAGATAACCACTTACTGCACCTAAGATATGTGATGATGATATTGTATTAAACCACTTTTATTGTTTTACAATACCTCTTTCAAAAATAACCACATATACAAAACTTCTTTCATAAATAACCACATTGGACTTAATAGATAACCACTTACGGCACCTAAGATATGTCATGATCATATTGAATTAAACCACTTTTATTGTTGTACAGAACCTCTTTCACACATAACCACATAGGACTTAGTAAGTAAGCACTTATTGGACCTAAGATATGTGATCATTGATATTGAATTAAACCAATTTTATTGTTGTACAGAACCTCTTTCACAAATAACCACATAGGACCTATTACATAACCACTTACTACACCTAAGAAATGTGATAATTGATATTGAATTAAACCACTTTTATTATCATACATAACATACATCAGAAATAATCACATAGTACTTAGTAGATATCTGCTTACTGTACCTAACAAATGTTATGATTGATATTGAATTAAACCACTTTTATTGTTGTTCAAAACATCTTTCAGAAATAACCAAATAAGACTTTATACATAACCACTTAATACAACCAAGGATCATTAGGGAATAGTGGAACTCTATAACACGTGTTTTTCAAAGAACAAAATGGACTATCCAATATTTGTTTTGAAATTGTAAGGTGTGTAACACAACTTGAAACTGATATAATAAATGGACAAGTCTTAAAACAATTCAACATAATTATATCACAAAACATTTCCATCATTTCTACAAGCTTAAGATGAATAATAATGGAACATCATATAAAACTTGGAACATAACATACATTACATAACCACTTAATGCAACAACATATTCATGATTCTGACTTTAGTACTTCACTAATTATACTACATAACAAATCCATGTAAACACGGACAATATTCAAAACTGACAACAATGATAAAACTGAAATACAAAATAGCGTATTATGATAGTCCTCAATTTGTTCCACTTTTAGTTCTTCTTTGATCCACTGCATTCAGGTTTGTCGTTGTGAACAGGTGGTTGTGAACTGGTGGAGTCAATTTTCTAAGGATGTCATCAACGAAACGTGTTGGAGGCTTGTTGATAACAATTGGTATTGATAGACATACTAAGTCATCAATTGGGCAACCAATATCACTTGCAAAAACCTGCACATAAGCGGAATATCATTCAAAGTGGTAAAAAAAGTTCAGAATACATATATCACCACAGTACAAAACACTTTTAAACTTTACCATTGTCGTGATGTGATAGGTGGAAGACAAGTATTTGTCATCTTCTAGTAACTGCAGTCTGCATATGCAAAGCAGAAAATAAAATGATTTCAGATGAAATAAATTGTTGATGCATATTATGACTATTTAACCAAACTAAATTACTTAAAGTAATCCATGTCATGGAGTTCAATCAATAATATTTATTTTGCTAATTATTATTATTATTAAACCAATGACCAAAGTCAGACAAAGTGAGGATGGCAGTCGTGAAAATAAATTGCCCATTTTAGAAGCAACTATAGAGTTGGCCAATCAAAACTCATCAAAACAAGGACCTCATACTATGTCTAAGCAAGCCCAAAAACACAAAGGACGGTAAAGATTCCTACAGGTTTGCCCAATGGAGTTGATATTAGAATCTTAAATCTGTAATATGGGGTTTGGATATGTTGACAACATCTATTTCTCTAAAACTTTTTACCAAGAAATCCCTTCGCTCAATAAATGCTTTAACCATGGTAGAAACTGCTTCCCCACCAGCATAACCTAGACCTAACGCAGCAACTGCACCTTTCTGGGAAATACTAATGGCCCCTGAAGTGAACTAAATTCAATATAATGCATCGACCACTACATCTCACATATAATATGGTATAGAAACAAAAGTCCAACTGATTCCAAATGAATGCTAAAAGCTTAATGAAATGCTAAATCTCGCTAAATTCGTTTGATGTATTGTTCTATCAAAGGGAAATCAAGACAAGTATAGCATAGGATGAGCCAGATGAAATGCCAAAAAATAATAAAGCATACCTGACTTTGGATCTTTCCACATGCACCAACAAAATGTTTTGGACCAGCAATATAACCAAGCCGCCAACCTGTCATTGCAAAGGCCTATATGAAAACAACTCAAAAACATCATAATCAAGTTTATAGGCATCCGTGTCTAATCATTCATTGCAACCACACTGTGAAATAGACCATAAGCATTTCAATATAAAATAAAAATGAATGAACAACACACCATTCAAATCTACAAAAAGATTACATACTCACCTTAAAAAATCCATTTACACTTACAGTTCTGTCCCACATTCCCTGTAAAGATGCAAAGCTAGTGTCAGTTGTTGGGCCATAAATTATGTGTTCATTTTCATCCGAGAGAACCTGCATAAAACAACCATCAAGATCTTTAAAGAATATATCATTTAGGTTGAAAACATTGAAGCACTAGTGATCTTATTGTGAATGTATTCAATGACAATACCAGAAACCTAGAGTGCTTTGCAACCATCTGGGCTATATTTTCAAGTAATCCCTTAGGGTAGACAGATCCAATTGGGTTAGATGGCGAGCAAAGAATGAGCAGTCTCAAACTCAGTTCTTTTGGATTCAAGGAGTTTGGGATCTAAGAGGAAATTATCAAATATTGATGTTGGAAGAATCACACGAGTTGCATCAGCCAACCTTGCCATTTCTGGGTAACTAACCCATAATGGAGCTGGAATAATGACCTGAAAATTCTCACCACAAATGAAAGTCACCAAAGTCAGCAAAAGAAAAATTAACATATGGGCGTTACCATATATAATAATTAAATTTTCAACCTACTCAATTTCATCTGCCACTCATATACCAAAAAGACATCCAACTTATAGGAACCAACTCATACTTGTTTCTTAAAGTGTAACTGTCATCTAAATTACTTACCACTTTTATACTCTTTTATTCCCTTTCAACTAATTCCATAACAATATCACAGATTCAAAAAAATATAATGATTTTTTCGGTGGTTTTCAACATGGTGCCTCTTTAAATTAAATTAAGATAGCTAAAGTAACATTGCATAATACAAACAATAGTGCAAAGGAGGAATATGTCAGCTAAATCTGAAAAGTTTTCACACTTCTTTAAGGTATGCCAGATCTTGACAAAATTCTGAGATTGCCTGTATAGTGTCAAGTCGGTAATAACCACCTATAAAGTTCTCTTTATGTTGACCTGATTTTTGGGCTATGCATTGTCAATTTTCATTTTCTTTTTGTGTTATTTCAAGCATATTCTTTAACAATATATACTAAATCTAGCTAGATATGTTCTCTAGGTTTGAAATATAAAAACAAAGAGAAAGAAAATAGTTAGGAGTAATGCATAACCCAAGATTGTAAGTGCAGAATACAACTGAATCAATAATATTAACCTAAAACAAGTTAATAGCCCGAGGATCTCACCTATTAGACCATTTTCATAATGTTGAAACCGATACCCTTTCATCCAAATGCAATTTGTTTCGTGCTTCTTTGTTTTATTTTACATTTGAACAAAAATAAAATAAAACAAATTACTTGAAATCAGTGAACCAAACACATACTACAAACGTAGACACATTTTTTCTTCCTAAATAAGCAAAGAAAAGATAAGGCCCAAATTTGTTATAAAACACAAGGAATAGTGTCAAGGTTTTCATGATAAATGGCATAAGAGGTCTTATGCATTTAAAACTGCTCAACCTCATCTTTATCAAACCTTGCCCCTTTTAGTCTAGGGTTTTCGAAAATGAACACAAAAGAAGAAACGAAGAAGAAGCACCGCCCACCGTCCGATCACGTGCACCTTCCGATTAAGTCACACCGCTCAAATTCTCGCGTTATGAAGAGAAAAGAAGAGAGGAAGAAGAAGCACCACCCAAACTCTCTGTCTCACGCCTTTGCCCCTTTATTCTAGGGTTTTCGTAAATGAATAAAAAAGAAAACGAAAGATAGAGAAATGATGACAAAACAAGAAAGGAATAGAAAGGGGACAAACCTCATGCTTCGCACTTTGCCGGTTCCAACTCTTCTGATCACCGATCACGTCTAGCCTGTGGCAGCCATGGAGTTCTCCTTTTTTTTCTTTCTCGCTCTCTCTCAACCTTAACCCTAGACTTCCTCTTCCAAGATGAAAGGGTCGACTATGAAAGGAACGAAAAATTTCAATAAACTTTTCAGGCACCGCAAATGACAACTTTGCCCTTAATGACATTCAGAAAAATTGGGCCCCACCCGTGTCAAATGAGTGTCAATTTCTTTAGCCGTGTCAATTGGGCCCCACCATTATTTTGCCCTTTATCCTTTCATACATAACCACTGAATGTGATGAATCAGAATAGTCCTTTTTGCTCATCTCAATTTACTGAATTTGTGGCTCCTTTAACAGTCTCATGTCTACATCTTCCACTTCAATTTTTCAAAACTCATTTCCTCTTTCATTGACTTTTCCTCTTTCAACACTCACTCAATCATTTCAATAATAACTATTGATCGAAGATGAAACCATCAAATGAAACTATTATCAGATAAAAATGTAACAAAAATACCTTTCCTGAGATAAATTTATCTATAAACACTTACAAGATAACAGAAAAAAAAAAAAGATTCAAAATTTATCTGTTATTGGCTATCATTTGATGATCATATTGTTTGGAGAAACTCATTTCATTAATAATGAACACCCCTTGAAGACAAACAAGAGTTTCATGAACTGCAGCACAGATCAAACCAGATAAGATTCTGATACATGATGACAGAAGGATCAATAACAAGAATAACATATCTAAGCTGAGGACTTGCTGAGTTCTTGATGAATTGCCTTTTCCAGCCATGCCTCAGCATGTTCCATGATTCCAGGGCTGAGCCTGATCATGAGAATGCAAAATTCAGTTTGATTAAGCTTTCCATCTCCATCAAGATCTCCTTGTCTAACCATGGCATCTGCATCCTCCATAGTCATGCCCTCCATGCCAAGAAGAGCTGAATTTCTCCTCAGACTCTCACTCGTTATCAAACCTGTTTCTGGGTCTGATAGAAGCTTGAAACCTCCACAGAGTTCTGAAACAAAGGATTCCACATCAAGCTTCTCTGCCATGACTGGTAGCAAGTCCTCAAACTCTGTCTCTGTCTCCATGCTGCTGCTTTGCTTCATGCTCTGTTGCTTGCTTTCCATTTTATGATACCAACCTTCCCTTTTCTTCTGCTTCTCAACGTTCCAAAGCAGAAAGCGACTTTTCAACACTCAATGAGAATTCGTTAGGACAAGTCCTCTTTTATAGACATGTAAAAGTTCTTCCTTTTCGAACGACTTATGAGGTTCATTGAAACTCCAAAATCACCATTTATAGATTCCATTCATCTTTAAGATACACTTGGATCCGTAAAAAAGAGTTACTAAAACTAGTTTATTTGTTGCATAAATTTATTGTAATACACGTAATTTATTTATTTTTTATTTTATGCTTACTATTGACAAATGTAACTCATCATTTTTTACCCATAAAATTTAATATGAGAATTGAGAAATCATTGAGTTATTAATCATTCAAAATTGTAATTTGAGAATTTAGATTCTCTTCTGTTAGATTTTTGTGTGTTGTTTTTTTTCGGAATATACTAATGAATATTAATTTTTATATTTTAAAATATATTAAAAAGATTTTTAAAATACCAGTATCAATGTATTTTAATGCTTAACAGAAAACAACATAAAAAATTCTAGTAAAAACTTCGGATTCTTAATTTGATATCATTATTAGTTTCTACCAAATTTGGAAGTTGGATTTTTCATTGGCTTTACACAGTATTTACTAAAGGAATCAAGAACTAATATAAAGAATAACTATTTATTTTGGTAGTTACTGTGACTAACACTCTTTTTAACAATTGTTCTCTTAAATGTGACTTTATTTCTCTATGGGTAACTTCTAGAAACCATCACAGGATGCATACTTTTTTTCATAGTCTCAACATAGAATAATATAGAATAAACTATAAGACGATCGATGTATGTAGTTATTTATATATTATAAATTTATTTTATTTTTAATAAATATATTAATGCCGATCTAATAACAAATAATATTATAAATTCAGCAAACAATAAATTTTATTAAAAAAAGTTTCAAATGACTTTTTTAATATCATATTAAAAGATAAACTTTAAATATATTTAAAATTATATAAAATCAAGTTATAATATGAGATTTTTATTAATTTGATACTGTAATTTTGTCTTATATTTGGTTAAGATATATTTTGAAAATGATGAATAGAAAAGAAAAGGAAGTTGTGATGATAAGGTTGAGCATGAGAGACAAATATGTGGGTCAAAAGAATATTTAAGTAGTATTGGAGAATTGGGAATTGTTGTGAGTGAAGAAGTTGAGGAATCTAGAGAAGACGGTTATGTTATGTTATGTTATGTTATGTTATGTGTGTGATTGAGAAGTAGACATGTATATATGATTTGATTTTTCATTTTCATCATAGGAAGGTTTCTAGGAAGCTGCCTTTGGTGGGAACAAAAGGATATTCTACTTCAGACGCAATCTTCAGTTCCATTCTTTGCCTTCCATGAACCTTCCTCTTCTTCCATTTCTATTTCAATTTTTCCTATTCTGTCGTCTTCTCAATCAATCATATACATCACAACTGCCATAATAATTTATTTCTTCTGTAATCACAGCCTTTCCACATGGGCCATGCAATTCTCAATCGCAACATTTTATTATTTTTTTATATTTCTTTTTTCAAATCATACTAGCTAGTTTTACTTTGGTTTGCTTTCTTTGCATTTTATATTTCTCTTCCTTTGCTTTCTTTCGCCACATGCCCTTTTCACGTGTTTCACAACTCTACCAATCATAGTTAATCATTGTTTAGTGGCAATTTTTTATGATCATAATAAACTAATTGGCAACTTTTGATGATTAAGTTTTGTTGATTTTAAGTGTGAAACATGAAAAAAAAGTTGGATTTTAAAGAGGTAAAAAAGAGAAGTAGGTTTTCAGGAATTGATTAAAGGTAGTATTCTATTTCAACATAGAAAAACAGAGAGTTGGAAATCTTTTGTGTTTGGTTTAAATATTGTTCAAGTTGTTATAGGGTTCTTGGAATGATTGACGAAGACGCAAGCATCGAATACGATCGATCATGCAGAATGAAGTACTGTTGAACTGTTGGATTTAGGCATGAGAATAATGCTTCTGATTTTTGTGCCGACTTGCATAATGTGAGAACACAGACTTCAAATCAAAATAAATTCAAGATTGTGTTTTATTTTTTATTTTTTAAATTAAAGAAAAAAATTCGTCGATTCATACTTAATAATGTATTAGCTTCGTATGGTTATCATCTGTTTTATGAAATGTTTAGGCAATTTACTTTTTAAGAGATTTAATTAAGTTTCGGGTTTTTTTTTTATCAATATGAGTATTTTTAATTGAGTGTTTAATAGAAATTTTTACCTTATAATTTTAATTTATCTATTAAGGAAGTGACATGACTCTTATTTTTTATAGTCGCTTTATTTATATAGTGTTAATAAATATAAGACTTTGTGGTTAATATGGTTGATAAGAGATTTTGATTTTTTTTGTTAAAAAATTTGTTTGGATAATGATGGTCATGCTTTCCATTAGTTTTCATGTTATTATTAGACGATTAAAAAATAATGGTATTAGATAAAAAATACTGTTCAGTAGTAAATAGTTGTTATTTCGGATTTTTATTATCCGTAACTAATGGATATTTTAAATAGGTAGGTGTATCTGATTGTCATTCTATCCGTACTTATGAATATTTGTCGTTTGAAAAAAAAGTTAAAATTAAAATTAATTAAAATAAAAATTAATTTATATTTTATTACATTAAATTCTTTTTTAATTTTATTTAGATTTATTTTATAAATTTATAATTTTTTTTTTTAAATATTCATAGATAACTGTATATGCTTTCAAATTTTAAATACCCATAAATATATAATTAAAATTGATATCTAGCCATTACAACAATAAATACTTATTACGGAGATACTATTCATATCTTACCTGACATAGTATCATTCCTATAAGTATTGTTGTCACCGTTATGTTAATATAAACAAAGAAAAACTCTCTTATAATCCAATATATTTTTAATAAAAATAATCGTTCTTCTTCTTAATATATATAGAGTAAAGTAAGACGACTAAGTAAAATATCAAATCATACTATCTTTAAAAAGTTAAAAAACAGAAATATAAAAAAGTTTGAGGATTGAATATACTAAGAACTCTTTGTAAACGATTAAAAACTTAAAATCTTTTTAAAATTGACATTGTCATCAAAATTCTTTTGGAGCTATAACATATATTGTAATAAAAGCATAGAGTATTTTGTAAATTTCAATTTACTACTACCATTCCCCAGCTTATTAACAAAGAGTATTTGAACAAATTACAAATTTCAATTTTCAGCACAATGGTATCTATACCAGATGAATACAATTCTAAACTTTCTTGCTCAATATAAAGCATGTTGAAATTTTTTATGCTTAAAAAATTATATATTATATATATATAACATTCACAGGACTCACATAAAAACACAGATTCACTGGTATAATAATAATAAGAACAAGGAAGTGTCAAAGAATCAAAATAATTATATATTGTTCAAACTTAAATAGACTAGAATAAAATATTGTCAACATAATGATCTGGAATAGGATGGTTGATCTTAACTTACATGTAAGAGTGGGATAAAAAATTTGCAATATACTTAGCATCACAGCAGAGAGAGAAGTTTTGTTTTCTAACACAAAGACACGTATCACCTTTCATGATTCAATGCAGAAGAACTTAGTCACTGAATATATTTAAATTAATCCACTCCCGAGCAAAAACAATAGATTAAATGTGGCAATTCTAGCAAAGCTGAGCTCTATTTAGATTTGCTGAACTCAGTTCTGTTTGTTGGATCCACTTTAGACTATTCATTATTATTGTACAGCCTCAGGAACATGTTCATGTATGTTGGTACAACTAAAGTATTTTCAAACATCAAGATGTTTGCTGTATGGTTCAAAACTTCAACAGATTTAGTTGGCTCTCTGGTTTAGGCTAATATTACTATATTATCTTGTTTTCTGAACAACATTTTCATTTCATCAAACAATCGTTTGCCTGAATAAGTGCAGCAGGAGTTTTATATTTATTTTATCAAG